ATGCTTGAGCCCATTGTTGCTGCCAATATGCCATTCCATCTTGTTAGGAGTCTTCCTCTTTTTCACTGATCCTCCACTTTACCAAGCATGATGTCTTTCTCCAGGGACTGTTCCCTATTGATAATATGTCTGAAGTAAGAAAGATGAAGTCTGGCTATCCTGGCTTCTAATGAGCGTTCTGGCTGTACTTCATGCAACACAGATTTGGTTTTTTTCTTCTTTTGGCAAGGTAGATTTCATTCAATTGTCTCTTTTTTCTATTTATGTCAGCATCCCATGAGGTTAATTCAATGTTTAGTATACAAATAAGTTTTAGATAATAAGCTAGCAATTGCCTTCCAGAACCTCAACCTAGCTGCAGTCAGGGTCATAGCCAGCCGTCCCTCTCCTGGAAAGAGGTGGAATCCAGCGGTGGCACCACTCTGGACTCAGTAGGCAAAGAGCTACAGCAGAAATTGATGACCCTCTTGATGTCAGAGAAATTTCTGCCTTCTCTGAATCAGACAACCTTTTCAAGTGAGTGGGGATGGAGGAGCTGACACAGTATATGAAAGCCTGAGGCCTAAGCTCTCCTTGGAGTTCTCAGTGGCTACCTTTAAAGCCCACCCATGGTGAAGTTCCTTATACCCTGCTACCACCCCAACATAGAGACTCAGGGTAACAACTGCTTAGATATCCTGAAGGATAAGTGACCTGCGCTGTATGGTATCAGGACTATCCTCCCCTTCCAGATCCTGCTGGGAAAACCCAGCATCGACAGCCCTTTGAATCAATGCTGCCAAACTTTGGAAAAACCCCACAGTCTTTAAGAAATAACCTACAGGAAACTTAGTAAAAGCAAGTCTCCAGCCAAGAGCCCTGATCTGGTCTGTCTAGCCTCTCTCCTTGTGTTCTTTCTATTGTTTTCTTTAGCTAATCTGCCCTTTCCTTGATTTCTGTAGAGGACTCTATCTTAAACTGTAGCATCATTTTTGTTTTATTGTTTGAATGAAGGCTCCACATGTGACAGATATATTGAAGTAATACAATTTGGGTTTAAAAATTAATATTACCTAAAAGAGAAGCCTGATAAACAGTTAATTTGCCCCAAAAAAGGTGGTGGTGATGATGGTGGTTGTTGTTTACCACATGTATTAATATCTATCCCCTTCCCTTTGTCCCTAACCATTATTTTTCCTTATTACCGATGTGGGAGGTTGTGATTTACACTTAGAATAAACTTTTACTTTTGTAATATAAAGATATTCTTCCTTATATGTAATATTATCCATCTTTAAACATACCTAATTTCAGCAGAAAAGATGCTGTGTAATTAGATATCTCTAGACAAAGGATTATGGCTTCACTTTAAATTTAGATTATAATTTTCCTTTAAACCAATATTTACTTTAGTAGTGTAGAGACACATGTTTTTCAAATTAATAGTCACATGGAGCCCTGGTGTGGTACTGTAGGATAAGCACTTGACCACAGGGTTGGTGGTTCAAACTCATAAGCTATTCCTTGGAAACCCTATACAGGGTCACTATGGGTTAGAACCGACTCGACAGCACTAGTTACATAGTATAAAATTCAAAAGAGTAAATGGTAAAATAAAAAGCTCCCCCCCCCACTTCTGTCAACCTGATACCAAACAGCTCCCCTTTCTAAAACTACCAACTTGTCAGTTTCTAGTAATATTCTTCCAGATATTTTATGTATATGCAAATACATAATACATTATTTTTCATTTAGAGATTGTTCCACAACTGAAATACTCAAAAGCACCCCCATTCTTTTACCTCATTCATAATACCCAAAAACTGGAAACAACTAAAATGTCCATCAGTAACAGACTGAATATATTATTGAATAAAATCAGAGACTATTGATAATGAAATACTTCTCTGCAGTTCAAAATACTGCTCTACAATATAGGTGAATATCAGTATCATTAAGTGAGGAATCCAGACATAACAGTTCACCATACAGCATCCAAGAACAGACAGAGTGGTTTGTATTAGTTTCCTATTTGCTGTTGTAACATTAACACAAACAGTGGCTTAAACATGACAAATTTATTATCTTAAAATGCTATAGGTTAGAAGTCTGGTATGAATCACTGAGCTAAAATTAAGGTGTCAGCAAGATGCTTTCCTTTCTGCAAACAGGATCCATTTCCTTGCTATTCAGGTTGTTGTAAGACTGAGGTCCCTGTTTCTTTGCCAGTGATCCAAGTTTGGAGAGGCCACCAGGGTTCTTGGCTTGTGACATCTTTCCTATGTCTTCAAGGCCAACAATAGGTCCCATGATTCTCATGCTTTCTCCCTTGCATGCTTTAAATCTCTCTGGGTGACCCACTTCTGCCTTTTCCACTTAAAAGAATTACCATGATTTCTTTGGACCCACCCAGATAATCCATTATAAACTTCCCATCTCAAGGTTTATAAACTCCTTTTTGCTATATAAAATGACATATTAGTAGATTCTGGGGATTAAAGCATAGACACTTTGGGGAGGCCATTCTTCCTACCACACTGTTAGAAAGTATCTCTCTGGAGGGTTGTGGAAATGCTTCATATCTTGATCAAGGTCATGGTTACACAG